TATAATTTTGCAAAATAACATGGCGACATTTTCTTTCCCGTTCCAAGTAAAATTATTTTATCTCTGCTGTTTCCTACTCAATGATATACCAATACAGTTCATTTAAATAATTTCCTTGAGTTAGTGCCGCGATTTTTAAACACCCTATGCAAATGTGTTTTGAGGACGCTTGAACTTTTCGCAAACTGAAAATATCTCTAGCATGTTTGACATAGCCATCCCGATAAATTCATCACCTGTAACAACATAATCGTCGCAGAGATCGTGATGTACATAATTTCTAGAATGTAAGTAAATGATCTGATAATTACTGATAATTGCGATCGGTGTTTCTATACGTTGTTGAAATACGCCAAATATGGACTACGTAGGTAGCAATCAAGTAGAATGTGTTAATGGAATTGGAAAGCACGCTCAAATATTTTGATAGCGTGAAATATGGCGACTAATAAAGCTTAAACTGAGCGAATTTCCAAAAATGGTTTAAAAATGGTGTTTGTAAATGAATCCTTTGGAATACAGTGACACATCTATATAGACTGGAATGTCATGTCCACAAAGAAGTGTTGAAACATATATTGGGTGCTTCCAAACGTAGGGAAACGGTTATGAAGTGATTCTTTGAACAGCTCTTGGCGATTTTTGGAAAACCACCTTGTTTCGTTGACACAGATTGAACCAAATTCTGGAATATTAACAATTTTTATTAGAAAAGGTTGCATAAGGACCTTCGTAGCTCACAGCACTCATCTCAAGTATCTTGACGTTTAGGCAACACAGCCAATACCATCCGTTGGTTTCTTTTTTAAATTGGTATTACAAATACACTCTTCGATAATATAAAACACTCGATACTTTATTCAAAAGAATACACCTTCCGATTATCCATGAAAAACAATTTCAGTTAAATGGCTGCCGCGGCTGGCCTGGCAGTAGTCCATCCCCTTAACCCAATTTTTAAGCACATTTTCGATAGTTTGTGGGTCTATTTCATCAGGAGCTCGACGGATATTTTCCTAAAGAACACAAATTATTTGATGATCGTTAATGTAACAGCGGTCCTTAACAGTACCCGGTAGGAGGTAATCCATTGGGCGTCAAACCATAGCTGCGGGCTGGACAATGAACGTCTCCAAAACAGCTGATAACGCGATGACCGAACTTCGTGTGTAAAAGATCGATTGTTTCCCGGCTGGTCCGGCACGTTGCACCATCCTGCTGGAACCAGAGATGTACAAGTGCATGTCGTCTAATAGTGGCCACAGAAAAAAAAACTCCTCAACGTGTCTATATAGCGTTTCCCGTATCGATGTTACCATCTTCATCTTGAACAAAGTAGGGACCAATAATCCCACCACTCCAAAAGCCACACCAAACAGTTACTCTTTTTGGAGATGCATCCGTTTTTCTGTGACGACATGGGGATTTTCAGAACCCCAAATCCTACAGTTCAGTACAGATGGAAATGGGCTTCGTCCGAAAAGATGATTTGCCGACCAAAATTGACGTCCGTTTGAAATTGACTCAGAGCCCATACAGAGAAACGATATCGAAGCGGATGGTCATTTTGTTTCAACTCTTGCACACAGAAGTGCGACTGATGCCCACTTGTGCTCTGTGACGAGTTGACATTCTTGCGTTTTCACGCAACAGCAGCAAAGTTTTGGGCTGTACGGATTGAGCACGCTCATACCTTCTGTTATCCACAAGCAGGCCAGTTTCACGAACCTTCTTAGCAAAGTTTCTGCAACACAGCACTCACTTAGAAAATAGTTTTTCAATATTTCCCACCTTTGTTCAAGATTAAAACGACCCATTTCTCACAGCGGAAGTTTGACATAATATATCTGTAAATCTGTTGAGCATGGAAGTGTTATCATCTGTCAAATAATACCAACTTACAAAGTGACAACTGTGACGATGAGATCGATATCCGTTTCATTTTGCAGTTACGTAATAAAGGTGTCGTTTAAGATCACCAAGTATAGTACCTCTATTAAGAATGCAAGAGTCTAATCTTATCATCATAGATCGGCACACGTCTTAAACACACCAGGGAAATCGTAGTATTTGATTTACAGTAGATGAGAAGAAAATTAAATGATTTAAAAGCTTGATATATGACGTTTGCCAGAAAGAGATATATCCGAAAAAATGTACACGCTGTATCTTCTCGATGCAGCGTTTTTTCGAAAATCGGTAGAGAACAATAGTTTAAATAATCAGGCTACGGAGTTTATTTGTGACACTTTCGATACAAAATCGATAATGAATAGAAACAACCCTATTTTGCAACTATGGTTATAGTATGTCGTTGTATCCCTATTTTGTGCACTATTTCTCGGAATGGATGATGGACAGTGAAGAGGTTCACGATTATGTTGCGGTTGGCAAAATTTTATTAAAATCCCATTAATACCTTAATGGTAAGGTTAGCGTGCGGTGAATTAAAAAAATAAGGCAAATTATGCATCGCCCAGTTTTTTCAGACAAGCTTGGGAATGCCCTTTTACTGGAAATTAAACGGTATTCCTTCGAAGTTGTTGTCAAGTCACGTGACGACACGATTATTCCAAAACCGTATTTTTACCTCATATAACCTCGACATTAAAAAATAATTATAACTGTACACGCAACAAGGAGGCATCTGAATATGTTGCTGTCTTTAACTTTTCACAACAACATTTTTCATTATTGGCGCATACAGATGCGTGAGATGTGTCAGTGATTTTCGCTCTCGTAATTTCATCATGTTTTTATCTTGAATCTCATTTTATTTACTGTGTGTAAGAGTAGTTTCTATTGATGGATTTTTTGTAGGTACATGTCAACCAGAAATACTTTTCATATGAAAATAAGGGTTGCTAGACAGAGTGAGTGGAAAAACAATGCCAGTATTTCTATTTGAGAAAACACATTCAAAATAACATAGGAAGTACATAGGTCCTAAAATCATAAAATGTCAAACTTCAGTAACTCCGGTAGAAGTCTCGCGGATCTTACCTCAAATATACAAACCAATTTTTCTTCAAAACAACGCGACATGACGCGACGAAAAATGTTGAAGACAGGCCTTATGTAAAATTGAATACCTTATTCAAAAAATGCAATAGTTCCAAAAAGCCAGTAGTGTTAGTACGGATGTTACTTCAAGTATTCAAAGAAATTTTTCTTAGTGTAAAATCAGTTACTTTATCTAAAAAATACAATAGATGTTCAAGGAAATGGCGTCAAGTAGGTTGACTCTTCACTTCCTACGCAACGCTGTCATCAGTTATGGAGATTATGTTTGGCACAAGTTAGCCCCTCGGACACCTCGAGATGAACATGTATAACAAAAAATTAGGTAGGTCAAACACGGCCATACATCTAGCACACAGTCCCCGCCAATTTGATAACGCTGCGGTTTAGAAATTTTCCATTTGCGCTACAGCACTGGCCATCTAGCAACATTGCTACCACCAACCTCGCCACTCGCCTTCTTTGGCCGCTCAGAGATCGCGCGTTGAAAATATTTCTCTATCATTGTTCTAAGCGAAAACCTATGATGTGTGGAATATGTCTAATATGTGCGAGGTATTACAGAGGTTGGAAGTCTGTGAAAATATACTAAGACCAAACAATTCAGATACATCCCACCCAGCTCCTACTGGAGCAAAAATTATAAATTTTTTTTGGTCCCTGACATGGTAGTAACCTTGTGTGAAAATAACATCAAAATCGCAGCATAGTTTTCGAGTTAAAGACGGGCCAATGATTAGCAGACACATAGACGGTCAGACAGACTGGCGTAAATGAGTAACATGGTTTTTGATTATGTACAGGTGATATAACAACTAAAAAACATAATATTCCATATCCATATTCCATCTCGTCTGTGGATGAGAGGTAAAAGTCAATGGAAAAATACCATTTTCGTTTGTTCTTCTGCAGGGACCAACATGCCACAGCAGTGGTGTGTCTTGAGCCGTGGAGAATTTTGTATGTATCGGTTTTCTGTCTTTGATACAGGTAGGTGCACTTATTTAAGTTGACCATTTTATCCACTTCGAAGATAAATTTGACAGCTTGTATCTCCATAAAGGGACACACAGGGACTTACTTATAGCAATCAAAATGGTGTGTTTATATTACGCATTCTTATTTGTAAGTACAATATATAGTCAGTGACTTCCACATTCTCAAAACGAGGCTGCCGTTGAAGTCTGGCTAAAGTCGAGTTGCCGTCTGGGTGCTTTTGCTAAGAACAATGCCTTACTATCAACAGGAATGACACATAACAAAAGATACAAACTTATTCCCCAAATATGTGACCTCGGCTTGGGTCTCTATTTGATCTTAGGTGCTGGAAATATTACGTGTCGCTAATCGAATGAATGAATGAATTATGAAATTAGAGGCATACCGTCCACCATTAGGAGCCGGCATATAGGCCACTTGAATGGACCCTTATGCACCCCTACATACCCTAAGCGTCAAGTCCCTCCCTTCTAGCAAAGTTCTAGATTCGGGGGTTCAAAGTGATGTACCCCCGTATTAGAGTTGTCAAATATAGGTACATCTCTGTATTACAGGTACCGAGTAATACTATAAAAAGTACCCGTTACTTTGTACCCGGTACCGGTATTCTAGGTAAGATTCGATTTAGGTCATTGCAACGTTGCAAGCCAGTATCGGTAAAATAAAAACACTGGTACCGGATAACCGGGGGAACACAGACAGTGAGACAGCAGACATCGCTCGAATCGTGCGTCGCAATTAAAAATTCGCTGAATTTTAAATCTAATTGGGGTTATTGCAGAGTAAACGAATTTAGTATACTGATTGAAAAAAGTGATCGCTTCTCAGCTGACTTCAATATTAATGAATGTTATAGTGAAAACAATATTTTAAAATATTATGGCTCCTACACAAAAAAAGAGTGCGATTTGGTTGCATTTTACCGTGTAGTGGACAAAAGGCTAAATGCGATATATGCCGAATCGTTTATTCGTTTAAAGGAGGTACAACCGGTAATTTAAGGAAACATTTACGAATTAAACATCCTACAATTGTAATCGATGAAGAAACAGCTATACAAAAAGAGGAAAAGCAAGGTAAGACCAAAACTATATATAATGATCAGCCAATACAGGTATCTTCCGGAAATTTTAATATTAGGTGTAGGTTAACATCAAGATAAATAAGGCAAGAGCATGTTGGTTAATAAAACAAGACGTTTTTAACCAAACTAAACTAAAAATAGTTAGCTAAAAATGAAATAAAAACCATTCTTTAAAATGAAGTTTAAAAATCAAATAAAATTTTATATTTTGATAATTTGATGTTGAGTATGAATGTTAATAATTGATTTAAATATGCTTTACACAGTTGCCATTATCGACAATTTTTACTTATATTCACGTATTTTGAATAGATTTTTTTATCTAGACTGATTTATTGGTATTCGCAAAAATAAATCCGTATTGACCCGTCACTATTGATAAAGATGAATCTAATAAATATGTACCTACCGATTTTTCACACTTATCGTCTAGGTGTACGTGTACGTTATTTATAGTGGATTCCAAACAAAAACCGATGCACATCATCAGTCTTGAGCTGTGCATTGTTGCCAGACTTTGCACATTTTCTTTTAAGCAAATGAGTCATTTAATGAAATAAATTTGGCATTTGTATACTTTCCACTACTTCACACTAAATGTTGTTCTGAAAAGAACAATTTTTAGTTGCAAGGCAACGATTCAAAGCTTAAATAGCGCAAAACTCACAAATTAAACAATAAAGAACTAGTTCGACAAAAGGACAATGACAACTGATGTCAAAAAATAAGACACGGCAACTTCACATTTCTCTGAACGGCGCACCAACCGAATCGAGAACAGGAAATTTAAAATTCAAGTAGAAATTTCACTTTGAATGTAGTAAATTGTTGGGGACCATGCTTTTTATCAATTGCATCACTAATGACGTGCTTCGGATTTTGTTTGGTATCCACTGCTCAACACCCATTGTTTTATTTTTAGCGTATGATACAGCCCCGTTCACGTCATCAGAACCAAAGGCAAATAATAGCGACAGCATATTAACAAAATCAGATGTAAGTCCTGTTCCTGTTAAAAGGCAAAAACAAATGAATTTGTCAAAGTTCAGAGCCCATCCACTAAGTCTGTCAAGGCAGAAAGAAATAAATGAGCTTGTTTTAAACATGATCGTCAAAGACATGCAGCTATTTTCCATCGTTAGGGATAAAGGTTTTTTAGAACTCCTAAAAAGACTTGAACCTAGTTATAACCCTCCAAGTCGAAACACTTTTGTAACAACACTCTTAGAAGACAAATATGCACGTGCAAAAACAACTTTGAAGCTTATTTTAGAACAAGCAGAATTCATTACTGTTACAACTGACGGTTGGACATCTTCCGCAAATGAAAATTATATATCTGTAACGGTCTATTTTATAATAAAAAACTGGGAATTTGTGTAGGGTTTGTTGAGCTGTTTCAATTATTCCGAACGACATACAGCTCAAAATCTTTATGAACAACTTATGAACATTTTAACAGAGTGGGGAATATCAGAAAAAGTGGTTGCTATAGTAACAGATAACGCTGCTAATCAAGTGGCTGCAGTAAAATTGGGAAGTTGGGCACATATACCTTGTTTTGCTCATACATTAAATTTAGTAGTGCAAAATGGCCTTCAAGAAATTAAAGATATACGCCATAAAGTTAAGGCAGTTGTAGAATACTTCCACAGAAGTTCGCAGGCAAATTCAAAATTATTATCAACACAAACTAGGATGGATGCAAACAGCATTCCTTTAAAATTAAAAAACGACGTGTCCACTAGGTGGAACTCTTCATATTATATGTTTGAGCGGTTTTTAAAGTTAGAAGAATCTCTTACTATAACCATTGGATTACTACACAATCCCGTACAATTATTGTCCGAAGAAGAGTGGAGCATTTTAAAAGAAATTTGTCAAGTGCTAAAACCATTTGAACAAATAACAACTGAAATTAGGTCAGAAACACACGTAACAGTTTCCAAAATTATTATCATTGTCCGAGGCTTGATCGCGATTTTAAAAAGGTTTCAAAGCGAAATGTCTTTCGATATCACCAAACGCCTAATTGAGAATTTATTAGCGTCGTGTTTGACTCGTTTTGATAAATGCGAATATAATAGTATTTTGGCAAAACCATCGATTTTAGACCCGCGATTTAAAATAAAGGCATTTTCGCTTGAGCAAGCATATAAAAAAGCCAAGGACAAGTTACAGGATGAAACAGTAGCAATTATAAGAAAAAATGAAAGTGTTGCAGCCATAGATAGTGATTTAGATGTTACTATTATACAAAGTTCCGAAGATGATCAAAGCTTAAATAATTTAGTTTGGCATGAATTTGATTTATCGACGTCCACCATTGAAAAGCCAAGTCCACTGGCTACTGCAATAGCAGAAATACGAATGTATTTGGAAGAACCAAATATACCTAGAACAGAAAACACATTGTTATGGTGGAAGTCCAGGGAACTACTCTATCCCACCCTTGCCCCATTGGCAAAAAAATACTTGAGTATGGTAGCAACATCTGTTCCCAGTGAACGCGTCTTTTCGAAAGCTGGTCAGTTGATAACAGAAAGGCGTAATCGATTGAAATCGAAACATGTAGAAAAACTTATGTTCCTTAATTACAATCAACTACTAATAAATAAGTGAAGTGTTTAGATGTTTAGACTAGTTATTTACTTTTTCAATTAGATTTTGTAAACTTATTTTTCTGTTTTTTATAATAATATAAATATATATATATATATATATATTATATATATTTCTCTTATATATATGGTCTATATTTTAATTATTTATCTGTTTTCATAGAGGTTCTCATAAATAACATTTTGAGTTCCGCACACATTAAGTAGCAGCACGACAAACGACAACACCGCCTGCTCTCATCCGCCCGATCCTGCTTATCTGCGTATGCGTAGTACGTACGCAATGATGTATTCCTCATTTCTTTCCCACATTCTACAGCGCTACTAAATATCAATACCCAGTACCGATATCGTTTACCAATATCAATACCGATCTGATCGACGGCAACTGCAAACCTAAATTAATAAATACATAATAGGTACAAAAGTGACGGATACTTTTTTTACCGAATACCCAGGTACCGAGTACTTGGCCGAGTACCGGATATTTAATACCGGGTAGTTACAATATTGACATCACTACCCCGTATAGTCTGCATGTTGTAGCTCAGAGCCTCACAGCGACACAGAACATGCGCCGAGACTCTTTCTCAACTCCGTAGCGCTCACACATGCGACCTTCAGCAGGTGGCGCCTCAGCGTGTTATGGCCGGACAACAGTCCCATCAACAACCTAAGGTTTGCTCTATCCAAAGATAAGAAAAAGTGCCCATCCTTAAAACTGAGCCCTACGATGGGCTCCTTTGCGTGACGGAGATGTCTTGCAATCCACTTCTATATTTTCCTCTTTGCGCGGGCACACCTTGAGGCTGGCTCAGGACCAATGAGCTTGCTCGCTAATCTTGCGCGTACTTAGTGCCTTCATCGCAGCCTGGATGTCGAAGGAGATTGTTATCCTTCCCCTAGGCTCTTCTCGCTCCAAAATGCGGGATGCGGAAGCCAAAATCGCATAGACTTCCGTCGCTAATCGAGCTCGAGGTGTTTTTAGAAACTGTCTAATGGTGTGCTTCTCCAACACTTTGTAGCTTATGGGATAATTTGAACGTGATTGAACCTCTTGAATTCTGCATACACCAAGCTTCCAGGGTAGTTTTCTTTCGATGACTTGATCGAGTAAAGTTCATAAATGATAATTGGATGATATTTTCATATCACATGAAATGCGACAATGAAACCTAACAACGTTCTACCAATGTCCTTGGATTGGTGAATTACCATATCATCAGCATAACACTGAGAGCATGTTAAACAGTCTGGAGAATCTCAGACGTAGACGGCGCAGGGTTGTCAAGGTCAAGGGTGCTATTTGTTACCATCAACTACATCTCGCAGCAACTTAGAATAGGGATAGGATAGCGTACTTTCATTATTTATAATGGCATTATATGCATACACGCCTGCAGAGTTTTATGGACTCCTTTAATGACGTATTAAATCAAACGCCGTCAAAAGTTACCAGGTCTAAATGCATCATAGCGATTGTCATTCTCGTTACGATCGAGATTTATGGTTAGCGATTTCGAATTATTATGACTGTCATTATATATAGATATTGGATTGCTGAATAAAATTAACCAACATATAGGAAAGTGATGAAGTCAAATGGATAGATTCCTTCAAAACCCGGTTCAGTTGATTGTTTTTATATTTTTTACTTCCCACGTGAAAAGACGAGTGAGTGTTGTGGTCGCAAAGTTTTCGAAAACGAGATATTATGTTTTTTGGATGTTTCTTGGCATGTCCATCACTAACAACCATGTCACTCATTTCTATCACTTTAATCTGTCTGTATGTCCGCCAATCCGGTACCTCTCGATATAATTAAAAAGTACAGCTCGAACTTTGATAAAATTTTGACTCAAGAGACTAAAAAGCATTGGAGGTTTTGTTGACAATATTGGGTCAACCTACTTGACATTATATTTTTCTTTTAAAACAGGCTATCTGTTTAAAGTTGCTTGCTTGGATCCTTCATTCAAAATAGTATCAGGTTTTTCGATGTTACTCGATCTCTTCTAATTTTAACTTTTATCTCAGGATTTTTCTGTGCCGGAAACAATTCGGTTCATTTGCATCATCTCTCCGCATGGAGTGTATGTTGCACCGCAGCGCTATACCAAAGATTGCTTCAAACGCATATTTTATCAAAATCGATACCGTTACTTCGTTAGTTATTGGAAGTTTATTGTCTTCTATAGAGCCGATGACCCAGGAGATACAAAAACTGGTATTTAGTTGGTATAAATATACGGAGGCCTATATTAAAAGCACCAGAAGATCTCTATAGGAACAATACAGAGTGTTTCAGAAACACGTGCCAATATTTCTAAGGTAGAAAGTACATCCGAAAATTACAAAAAGAAGTTCCTATAACTGTGAGCTCAAACATGCTCCCCTAGTGATGACGCTTTATTCACGAAATTGAAAAAAATGTATATCCGGAACGGGTGAAGATACTGAGTTAAAATTTTAGACGGTCATAAGCAACATCAACGCGGAGATTGCTGGCCCAAACTAAACCAGGGTCGTAGCATCTGGGGTACTTAGACACCTAATAGGAAATATTTTTCACTGTCCGCTGGTCTTTTTGGAGAAAATGTGCATTTTATAAAAAAAAGTTCAATTTTCCATAAATTTTGTCTCTTAAGAAATGTTTGTCAGATCACTCGTTTTGGACATCTTTGGGTTTGAAAATTTAAGCTAAAATACTAAAATATTTTTATAAAAAGGTTTATTCTTCCCTATTCTGAAAACACCGTGAAGCTTTATGTTGTAAACACTGTACGGCATGTGAATGGAATCTCTTTACAAGATTATTTGAATATTATGCGTGAATGCCTTTAATATCCTCAATTAGTAGCGTATGAAGTTATCATTCATGTGTTGAAAGCGTTCTGTATACTGAATCCGAAATGCTAAAGAATTTTGAAAAAAAAACTCCGATAATGTCAGAAGTAAAATAATTACAATTTTACTTAAATTAATTGATTTAAAATTACTAGTTGACATTTTAGATAAACAGTTGGTATACCATGAAAACTAGGAGTTTGTAAAGACAAGATTTGACGAATGGTAAGCTTCTTCGTTACTGATTGAGGATAAGATATGAATATCATCCAATGAAGGTTATAGTAAGGTATCATAGCTTTCATCACAAGCCATATAGTGTTTCCAATATCAAGCTTCACGGTTTTTCCAGAACAGGGGAGGCAGAACATTTGCATAAGAATATTTTACGATATTACATCATATGTTCAAACCTGAATATCTCCAAAACGAGTGATCTCGACAAAAAATCCTTAAGAGATAAAATTAATGGCCGAAAAGGCCAGAGGCGAAGAAAATATTTCCTATTAGTGGCACAGGTAAACAGTCTCTACGTTCCTGGATTAGTTTGAGCCGAGGAACTCTGTGTCTTTATTGGTGATGATGAGCTCACTAACGGTCTAGAATCCTAACTCAGTATCTTCACCCCGCACATATATTTTTTTGAACTTCTTAAATATAACTTCATGACCCTATATCTCTGTAGAGGAGCATCTTTGTACCCATATTTAAGGCAACGTTTTTTGTTACTTTTGGATGTACTATCTATCCTACAAATATTGACACGTCTCCCTGACGCACCCCGTATAGCTGTCGAAAAACGTTTCTTCGACAACCGACTAAAAAAGTACATGTTACCGTTAATAGGCTGACATGCAAAATACTCAGCAGAAACGTTATGGCGAATAGCTTTCGGCCATTTTTTCGATTTAGTATGTTATAGAACAAACCTGTACATGGGCCCAAAGTTTTTCCACAAGTAGTTTTTTTGGGTACACCTACATTGTAGTTCTATAGGCTGCTCAAGCCTGCATGGATGGGCTACTTCTTCACAAACTTTTATAAAAACTGTTAATGATCCCCATCACCATCCCTATGGGAATACATTTTAAAAAATGATCAAGATTATACTGGGATGTCTCACTACTGAGTTGGATGTCAAAGGTGTCTTTTGAAAATATCATTAATTTTTGTTCATATTTGAAGGGAACTAAATAATTCTGCTTTTCTCGAATTCTTTCAGATATGCATATTTTTCTAAAAATAACAAGTGTGAAACCGTATGTCGACCACTTTAATAGAAAGAGCGGAATTGTTGCATGTTTAAAAGGATTTCCTAATTTTGTCATATAAGCACATTTGACTATTTTCTAAACTCAACAACAGTTAATTGAATGTTTTAAGGAAGTCTTTGATAACTCTGTAATTAACTGTAATTGAACGGATAAATGAGGTAGCAACTGAAAACTGTGAGATGTCTTCTTACACAAAATTCAGTACTATTTCTTTTAAAGTGGTCCAGATATATGTTGCCATGCATTCATTTATTTAGACAAATACATATATACATAATTATTTTCTCGACAACTACTCAACAAAATTGATAAGCATGTAGACCAATCAAAATATGTAAAACAACTAGAGTTATCTAACAAAAATAACAATAAAGCAACTTTGCTTGGCAGGTTATTAGTCTTGTATAATTCTGAGTATTTCTGGTGCAGGATAGTCGATGCCTTAGAGCAATTCTCCCCGCCAAACACACAATACGCTGTAAGATAATAAGGACTGTCCGGTTTTCTATTCTTGGAGGCCCTGCTCGTGAAAAATCTTTGGACACTTCTGTTTTACGTGTTGAGATCAACGATATATTAAATTTGAATGAAAAATAGCCGATAGCCGTTCCCCATATAAGGAATGAGCTATGTTGCTCTATTGGCACACATAAGTAAAAGTGCTCACTACTGGTTGTTATTGGACGATAGAACTTGATTACTTAATTGCTATAGAAAAGATACATTGTTGAAGTTGTTATGCTACTCCCTTCCATTTTGGTACTCCATTATAGTAGTTGCCGAAT